TTTCAAATTGTAACTGAAATTTGTGCACAATATATAGAGTAAGTATATATTTAATGTTTAAAAGAACTTTAATAAGTGCTTCCTTCATTGTTTCTGGATATACAAAGGATGACATCAGCCAACTCCTTGGTTTCTAGCAAATATGCTTTGAGATAGACACTGTAGTCATCTACAAGAAGCATGAAGATAAAACAAAATCAAGACACAAATCAGGCTACAGCAGTATGTAAAGTCAGATGAAAAATTTTCTAAGACTCCCTCTTCAATGAACTTTATTTTCTCTTCTGGAGGCAAATGCAGGCTGAGAGGCTGCCTTCCTGCATTCAAATAACTGACTATAGTCACAGAAAAACAAAGATGGAATGTTTGAATGGGATCAATGTGACTAAAATATATAAGGATTGTTATTAAGTATAACAGAGCACAAAATATTTTTTACTTTTGCTAAAGGACTTTAACAGATGTCATTTACAGAAAATGGCAGTGCATATCCATTTTAGAATTAAGAGAAAATCTAAAAGATGCTTTACAAATCCACAAATAAAATTGGGAAGTTTGGAGTAATTAACAATACTTGACTTGTATATTAGAAGCCATCATTCTGCATTTCTAAAGTAAAAAGCATGTCTGCTTTGTGCATATTTAACCAAAATATTCAGATATCGGAGCATAGCTAGAGCCAGATGCTTCTATGACTTGGGAAAATTTCTTCTTGATCATGTACGTTCCCTTGTCTACCCTCTTCTCATGCCTTTAAGCATTTGATTTACCTCTACTCACTTCGTGGTGCTATGCCAAGTTAGCTAGGTGATACGCTAAATTTCACTCAAAAGAGAACGGGATTGCTTCACATCTCTTCTTATCTTCACTTTTGACACATGCTACCTTAATAAAGCAGGGACTCTGGGAGACATGGCTAGTCCAAACTGCTTGGCAGTTTGATCAGATCTCAGCTACAGTGGTAAGTGTGAAAGGCGGACGAATGAGGGAACTGGGTGAACAATTTGGGGTGAGTGCTTTGGGGACACTACCTGCTAAACACTAAAACTTATGGAAACGTTGCTCGTGTGGAGAATGAGGAAGGGTAGCTGTGGAGAAGAATTAAGAAATGTAGATGAGCCCACTGGATGGAGATGGTTAACACGGGGAATACACCAGAGTTCCCAAACTGAGGACAACTGTCTTGTTAGCACTTAATTAGGATGATAGGTCTATCCCTGGTACCCTATCAGGCCTCTTTCTTACTTTTAAATTGTAAGAGTTGGGTTATTAGGCATGGTCTCTTTAATTACCTTTATAGTCACTTGTCCAATAAAACTGATAACAGTCATAGTGTCCTTCAGACTCCAAACATTAACTCTAGCAGCAGTGCAAATGAGTAAGAGGGAGAAGCCCTACTCCCCTCTAATAGGGCTTTTCCACCAGCCCTCTCATCAGCCCTACATCCTGCTTATTGCATGAGCCTTGAAGATTGGTAACAATTACATGAATCTGAGGAAGGAAGACTTTACTTTTTGCCTCTTGTGCCTATTAGAAAGCCCAGTCTCGCCCAGTCAGTGTGTAATCCACTCAAGATCCTTCTGGGGAAAGAAAGTTTGTCTAGCGCTGGGTTCACTTTTCAACACGCAGTCTACTCCATGCAGACAGCTTAAATCAAAGTCATTCATTTGTTTGCAATGAGCACTGTTGGAGCTTCAGTAACTGCCACCTAGTCCTAGAACATGAGGACCACAAAAGATCTTCCTGAATAACCTAACTTAAACTCCATTTCAAGGCAAATGCAGCCCTTTCTGATCACATAAAATGGAAGGTGATCAATGCTCAAAAAGAAAGGGCCTCCATGCATCTACTTCAGCATTGGAGTCTGAGGTTGAATCTTGACTTGATCATCAGTCAATCACAAATCATCTAACCACCAAGTTCCCTATGGGGAGTTGTGGGAAATTAAGTGAATAAATATCCCTTGCCTCAGGAAATCTACCATAGGATGACAGACAGGGTAAACACAGAAAGTTAGGCATGACTAGTTGCAAAGAGAACCTGTTACTCTCTATTCTGAACTTCCTTTCTCTGATGTAGCTCATCCTGTCCTGAGGCCAGGTTGCTAGATTAAGCTCCTTTGCCCAGCTGCTATTGATTGACATTTCTATTGGTTTATCTCTCAGGATGTCACTCAGGACATTTCCTGCCCCACCCTGTAGCATCCTGGCCCAGGGGAGTTGTTGAGACAAATAAATAAACCAATTAAAGGTGCTTTAGACAGGAAAACACCAGTCAAGTCAGAAAGTAGCTTAGATAGCAAATGTTTTCAATATCATCTTGTTCCAAAGAAATGAGTAAAACCCATCATGAGGTTTTCGTTAACTTCAATCTTTTTTCACTTACCACTGTCCTGAATTCATATAAAGACTCCAGAAAGTTTGTCCTTCTAATATTCTAATATTCTGTCCAGTTTTATGTATCTCTACATGTCTTACCCATAACCCTAAGTAAGGGACAGTATAGAAATAAAGTCCCAGCCCTTCTATACCAAATTTTAGTTCTTGATGGACACACTCACTGGGTTTAATCATCTGTGTATAAATGATAGCACATTCACCAACTGAGCTCTTTTCTATAATTCTATATAATTGTTGTTGGAGACTCTCATTTTCTTGGATAAGATAAATGCCTTATGTCCAACCACCATAATGGAAAAATACTGAAAGTCTATGCTTAGTTGAGAACCTAAAACTTGAGTTCAAATGTGTTAGAACATCATCAGAGTAAATATATTAACCATTTTCCACGTTAATTCATTATGAAGTATGTAGGGGGAGGGGATTTTAGATACTCCCCTATCCTGGGTGATGTATAGGCAGTGGCTTTCTTTGTCCATTAAACCTCTTCTGTTGTAAATAATGTAGATAGTGGTCTTGGAACACAAAGAATTCTGAAAGGTCTTCTTACTTCCCAAGGAAGAAATATACAAGTATATCGTACGTGACCTACATTTTCAAATGTTAGATCCCTTCCTTGTAGTAAGGGTTACTAAGACCAATGTGCATTCTCAAGACAGATCCAAGAGTCAGGGTCCCTGGAGTGGAAATGAAGAGACCTCAATAATGAGAATAATTACAGAACTATGAACAGGACTAGAGGATCAGGAGAGGCACTGATTAGCAACCAAAGGAAATCATTACTATTACAGTGGTTAAAGAACAAAAGGAAGGAAATAGCGTTATCAGAATACAATGAAAACTGGGAACACTGATGAGAGTCCTTCAGGCCAGGGTTATATTTTAGCTATGACTAAAGTTGTACCAACACAGAGAGGAGTAGAGTTGAAATCCTTGATCATATCTCCTCCTGCCCTTTGATTTCTTGCCAGGGTCTTTCATTGGTTGAGTCAAATCAGGAGCCCATTTCAGGCCAGAGTAGCCTCCTGGGTCCCAAACAAGTAAAACTATAAAAAATGACTGGAGAGACAGAAGAACCCAACAAATCCCCAGAGAAGGTAGAAGCTATTGATGTTTCCAGACTGACATCTCCAAACTTCCAGAAAGAATGCAATAAATTATCAAGGGAATTTTATATTTCCTTTAATCCTTTCCAAGTGTTTATGTTGCTTTTCCAGATTGTTTCTGCTCTATATTGTCTGGGAGAAAGCAGCCATACATTAAGGACAGAAATGACTCAAAGATCAGAACCAACCGAAACAGATGACCAGCCAGTGCAGTCCACTGATGAGCAAACATGCAGCTCAGAATCCTCAAGAACAGACCCAGGTGAAGGTGTAACTGGTGACCTCCTGAAACCAGAGCAACAGCTTTGTGCCTTTTTCTTTCTTCTGAACACCAACATGGATAGCACTGTCAGCATTTAAAAAGTATGCACCAAAAGCAAATTTAACATTTCTCTCTTTGCCTAGACTGTCCCACCTTAGAACTCACATACCCACCACCAGCTAAAACCATATTTTCTCTGTCTTCCTCATTTCTACTATGGACATTATAATGCTATCGTCTAAGAGATTTATTGTTAAAGCACCAGTGGTTTGTTTTGTGTTTGTTATTTGCTTTTCTGAGACAAGATCTCACCATGTAGTCGAGGCTAGTCTGGAAATGAAAGGTGTCTTGCTTAAGTTTCCTAAATGCTGGAATTGCATGTCTGTGCTGCATGGCCAGCTCTCCCCTCACCACTGATTCCATTGATACCCGGAGACTGGTTATTTTCAGAACCAGTTTTTCCTGATTCCCCACCAATACCTATCGTGAATCCTTAGGCTTTGCCTGCCCCACTGAAGGATGCTTGTTCTTCTTCCTACAACATTGCTGTGGACTTTGTGGGTCTCATCACCCATGCTGCATTCTATAGCATACCCACTGTCTCTCTAACACTTACTTTGGGGTTGACAGCATCCTCTTCACTGCTCTTTGGAGCAATCTGTTTCTAGCATCTCCAGTGCTCATGGCAAGAAGTAGCCTGCTATTGATTCCTAAATTCCGGTCTGGCTGAGAAACCTACAAGGGCCTTCATTGAAGTTTACTTTTCCATAGGTCCCACAAATACACATTCGAATTTAATAAGTTTAAGAGAAAGCTTTACGAATGCCTTTTTATTTCTGCTATTATGTGTCAAGAGTACAGTCTTCACAGTTACCATTTAATTAAAACTGATTTTGCTTTTAGAGTTGTATTCAAACTTCCCTCTGAAGTAGGCATATGGGGACCTCAGGCATTTCACGGGGGCAGGAGCTTTCAATTTAGTTTGACCATTGGCACCACCCAAGAATTAAAAAAACAAAACAAAAAAAAGTCTCCAAGTCTTACATAACTCCCTAGGTCCTAATTGCTGGTAAGGTTTATATTCTAGGCAAATAGAGTTTTAAAAGCTCCTCCCATTCCTCTACTGGATTCTAATGTGCATTCAGGGTTAATAATGACTGTTGCTTTAAGAAGAATCTCCACCCTTCTGCAGTACGCATGGGAAATAGCAAGAATACAGGAACTCAAGGTGGCCACTGACTTGCATATTCCCCTGGACATGATGGGTGTTCGGTGAATGTTTTCCTGTGGTCCATGTCCTTCCAGATCCTTCTCTAAAAATGTCACTGAGGTTTGCAAGTCCCTAAGGTAAGGAACACTGTTTTTATGTTTTACCTACACTAGTAAATAATACCAAGGCAAAAAACAGCCCCAAGAAAGGCAAATTCTTTCAAAGTAACACTAGTTTATTATTTTCCTGTATACTTACCCCCTCTACACCCTCCAAGAAATCTTTTTAGGTCTTTTGGTGTAGAGTTGCATTCTTCCGTCTCATTGTTGTAACTCTTATGAGAACAGTATGACTTACGTTATAAATATTCACAGCAGTTCTATAAAACTACTATGGAGTTAGAGACTCTGCAGTTCACATCTATAAGGTGATATGTGCATTCTTACTGAGTATGTGTACAGTACCATGCAAAATATGAACTATAGGACACATAGAAAACACTCACTGTTGGCATATAAAAACAAGATAGGAGTGAATATAGTTTAAAAAACAGCAGCAGAGTCATGTACACATTAAGTGGTTAAGAAATAAATACTGTAGCAGCAAGGCATATTACTGGAGAACATCCTGGTGTTTGCCTGTAGCAGTGAGTGTCTAAGAGTCATTGTGTAGGTTTTCTGCGTGGGAGACAAAGTTGCCTTAGCAGATGTGGAGTTTAGGGCTCACAACACAGCCAATGACCTAAGAGCTGGTGGACATGTGAGGTATGTGGGGTGATTTTTGTGTATTCCTATGCTGATAGAGCCAGCTGGGTGTAGTCGGTCATGTTTATCTAGTGTTTCTAAGGCTGAAATTTCACGTAAACAAATGGGCACTTTACATCAGGCTCCAATTGTGTGTGAACTGTGCTGAACACACTTATATCTCCAAAGCGTTGTAACAGAACTGACTTTCTATGCTGTATGTGTGGTATGAAATATTCTTGGTCCATGTCTTAAAATACCAAACTTGCTTCAAAATATACTCTTGTTTTTCATGCTTCTAAAAGGAGCTAAGGTAAATCCTAGCACAGACTTGCAAGCCAAAAACGGGGACTGTTATCTCCTTTTAGAACATAATTAACATGGACAAATCACGTAGGCTTACTGCATTTATCTTTTACATCTTCTAAATGAGGACGCATGTGTTCTCATGAAACTGGAACGGTGCAAAGACAGAGAGTATTCCACAAAGACTGAGCTATGTCAGCACATCTATTTTGTAATACCTTAAAAATCATAGTCTCGAATGAAGTCAGCATTTCTATGTGAAACACACAGGCCCATGGTGCACTGTTTAAACACCAACTGCTCCTAGTTAATGTGTCCATGTCCAGCATTGCCAGCTGTTCATTCAGTACAATCCCCAGCTTGCTCCTATGGCCCAAATGGAAGAAATAAGAGAGAAAATGGCATTCCGTGTGACTGGCAATATGTTTATGTAATAGCCTGTTGCTGGCAATATGTTCACGAAACAGCTTCTGCTGTCTTCAGTTCCTACTACTTTAGCTCCATTTCTAAGGGATATTAAAAACTAATATGCTTGACAGAAAATCAGACATAACAAAGGTGTTTAAAAAGGGATACATAAAAACGATGATTTAAGGAGACACCTGAAATTTAATAGTGAACTCAGCCATCTATCAGAGCACTAATGAGCAAATGATCTGAATGCACCTCCGGTAAGAATTTTTACCTGCTTTGAAATGAAACCTGGCTCACTCTGAAAGCTCACTTTCCTCTGAGCCTCTGCCCCACACTGCAGGGACCAGAGCGGTGGCTCCACCCCACCAGGCTGGCACCCCTGCTTCATGCCCGCCTCCCTGCTCTTTTGAGAGTAAGGAAACTTAGAGATAACAGCCTTCTTCACGCCTCATCCCTATCTCCACTCAGCCTCTTAACAGTAATTCCACTTGAAATTCAAATATTCTCCTCTGCCAAGCACAGTAGCACAGGCCTTTAAGCCTGGGGGACAGAGGTAGGTGATTCTCTGTAATTCAAGGCTAACCAAGACTAAACAGTGAGAGGCTGTCTCACAACAAATAAATATTGTCCATGTCCAGACCCTCTCTTGTGCAAGGAGCTTTATACATCTTGTTTTCTTATTCTCTATCGTCTCTGTCCTGAGCCCTCCATGCTGCTTCAGAGTAGACCCGACTCTTATTTCTTCTGTTTTTTCTGTTTACCCACCTAACAACTCCAGTTTTAGCTATAAACCGTTTCATTTCCCCTTCTAGACAAAAGCCATGCAATGATACAAGTTCATGTGTCAAGTATTACTATCTTAACTTTGACTGGAATCTCAATACTACATGAGATTTTTCTATGTTTAGTCAACTTTTTTGAAAAGCCTCCTGATTTGGAGATATATAGTTCAGTAGCAGAGTACTTGTCAGTCATACGTCGGCTCTCAATGCTAAGAACTGCAAAAATAAGCAAAATACCTCAATTTCTTGCTCTTGCCAAGAACTCAGGAATGTATTTGTGTCTATATGAGAATTTCCTCGTTCTCATCTGTGTCCTGTAAACCTAGAGTAACAGGGCCCACCCCTCTCTGACTTTTCAGAAAATCTCCGTCCATTTTTGTCGATATTCTCACAGCTCCAACTAACCCTGAGTGTCCTTTCTCCCTTATCTAAAAACATAATCTCTTTTCTTTATCCCCCTGATGCTGTCTACCACATCATATAACTGTAGCTCACTTAGAATTCAAGATCTTTGGATCTCACTTAGATCTTTAAAGCACACTTTGTACTCCTTGCCTCTACTTCATAATTCAAGTTCACCTCTCACTTACCTAGAATCTGATTTCCACTCCCACCACTGCTGTGCCCAGTTCACAAGTTGTCTCCCATTTTAAAATCTAGTTTAAGTGCTTTCTATGTCAATGTATTTATGGCATGTGGTGTTACTGGCCATCTTATTCTGGAATCCACCTTCATTCTATGTCACCGTTCTTACTTCCTGGCTTTGTGTCCCCTCTGAGAATTCCCCACCGCCTTCCCTTCTTCCTTTTCTTAAATGTGCCTGCTGGACCCGGCTTTGGAATCAAGTGTGTTAGTTACTTTCCTTATTGCTGTAAACGAAAATACAAAAGCAGCTCGAGAGAAAGGGCTTGCTGTGGCTCACACTTTGAGGTCACGGTCCGATGAGGCTGGGAAAGCATGACAGCAGGAAGGCAAGGCTTGAGACACCTGGACTCTGCACCTAGCGCCGGGAGGCTAACAGGTGAGAGCAGGTGGCCCGTTCTCTTTCTTTCTGTCTTCCTTCCCGTCTCCATTAACCTCTACAGAACTGCTTTCACAGGCATGCCCAGAAGTATGTTTCCAAAGCCAATCGAGTTGGCATGAAGATTAAGCATCATGTGTGCCTTCATCTCCTCTTCCTTGGATTGGGAGACCTTATCTAGTCAATTTAATGGCTCCCCAGTCCAAGCTTCCTTGTTTCATCTTTGATCTTCTACAGTCTGCGTAAGAATGTGCCACTGTCTCCTGAACAATCCCACGCGGAGCTCTCACACGCCTTTCCAGGTCAACTTGTTCCCAGCTCGTTGTGTCCCCCTCTCTTCGCATATGCGTGGCTTCACATGTACCGTGTGGGTGGCACCCACAGATCTGACCCCGCTTCCTCATTTTCTGCTGCAGGGACTGTTGTGACCAACCGCCCTTCCCTCTCTCCCATCTGGAATCCAGACCTCCCAGGATCCTCTCACTGATCTGCATACACACTGGGACAGAGGTGTGCGTGCGTGCGTGCGTGTGTGCGTGTGTGTGTGTGTGTGTGTGTGTGTGTGTACGTTGCGTGTGTATGTGTGCGCGCGTGCGTGCGTGCGCGCCCTCCCATATCAAATCACTTTGTCTCTCTTCCTGTTACTGCGTGAACAAAAACATTCCATCATTTTCACTTTCCAATATAAATGTTTTTGTTTGCCCCCCTGCAAATAAACAACAGGTGAGCCTGGATGGACCTCCTGAAGATTGGGAAGGCACCACATGCTTTGCGGCCTCCACACCCATGCTGTTTGGTCTGGAATATTCTCTGCCCTCTTCATCAAGCTGCTTTTTTTTTTTTTAATCTACCAAGGTTCCATACAGGGCTCTTCTCTCTAAAACAAAACAAAACAACAAAAACCTAACAAAATAGACTCCCAACCATCTCTTTCTAGATCCCAGGCAGAACCATGCATAAGTTTATCTCAACTCTAATCACACAGATGATTTTTTAAATGTTTAAATGTTAAACATGCTTTTATTTGAGAAAATACAAAAAGAAACAATAGGAAATTGTAAAATAACCCAGAAGCCTGTACAGAACTTATCCCAACCAGCTGAGTTACTTGCATGTGGCAAGACTTATGTACCGGGTTGAACTTGGTCAAGTAATTTCAGAAGTCCAATTGATAAAATCTTTCTGATTTTTAAAAATATGTCACACACTAATCTATTTGGTGAGTTACAATCTAATGTTTTGTAAAATATTCTCTCGAAAAGAGATATTCTGACAAGTACCCAAGCTTGTGTCTTTTCCCCTTGAACATTTCCATAGCATGCAGAGTAAAACCTTTTTTGTGTGTACCGAGTCAGTGAGTTTTAAAACTCCATCATGTTATCGTTGCATTTTGTTCAGGATAAAGATGTGCTGGAGAGATGAGAAAATACCTTGAATTCTTAGTTAATACACAGCACAATGCAAATCAGCCTGTGACTTGAGGATCCTGTTTTTAAAACATGCTGTGTTATTCGTTATTCTTTTCGAACTGACAGAATGCCCAACACAACTTAAAAGGAGAAAAGGTGAGTTTGGGTCAAGGTTTCAAACACCTTAGTTCATTGTGGCAAGGGATGTGTTGGGGAGAAATGGTGGCCAGTGAGCAGAGAAAGATGGATGCCTGTGGGTTTTGTCACACCTATCCCATCTCTCAGGCCCCAGCCTTCAAGACCCTCCCATATTCATGGAGAGTCTCCCCATGCCTGGCTAATCCTCTCTGCAAATCCTTTCACACAAACACCTTAACAGTGGGTTTTCATGATTCTTTTGTGTTTCTCAAGCCAATCAGGTTGATAAGCAATATTAATCATTACACATGGCATTCCATAGTC